TCCTAAAATGAAAATAGCTTCATTAAAAATTAAAATTTACCATTTATAAAGGAACAAAAAAGAAAACCAGAGACCTCAGTTCTAGAAAAAGGATTCTTGGGGTCCATGAATGGACTTTAAAGGCCTATGAACTGCAGAAAATTATATGTAAAATCTGCAGCTATGTGTTTTAATTTTTAGTACCTCAAGGGATCTGCGATCCAAGAAAGGTTGAAAACCGCTAACGAAAGGAATTAGGAAACCTAATCGTTTCTTATTTAGGTTTTGGAGGAAATATTTGTGTCATTCCCACTCCACAGGCTGAATGAAGTTGGGTAATTGGGTTGAGATTTTGTATGTGGATCTGAAAGAACTTGACCATTAACCTGTCCTAAAAGAGAATGCCTTGTGAGGTGATGTCACAGAGTATTTATGCAGATCACCTGTTGGAGATGCTGTTGAAGTCCTCTATTGATGGGACATTGGCTGAGAACAACCCCTGAGTTGTTGGTGTTCTTTAATTCTCTGATTAAGGCCATCTAAAGGAGCAGATTGAGCTACTTAAAGAAAATCAGAAGAGAGCAAGGTTTATAGGGCTCTAGAAACTCACATCAGAAATTTGAGAATGTGGACTTGTTCCTGATGCAGAGAGAAGTTAGAGGCAGTTGAGATTGAATCTCAGTCCTAAAGGAGCCATTTGAAACTTCAGAAAGATTGATTTGGGTTCCCCTAGACAAATAAGTGGGTTGAGAGCCTGACTGTAACTTCGGAGCAAGACAGGGAAACAGGATTCTCCAGTTGCTTAAAAGTTAATTTTCTGCCTGCAAATAGTGTAGTTATGAATTATACCTTGATTTGAACCTGTGATTTCTAGAATTTTGTGTTTCTAGATGGGTTCTTGGACCATCAAGCCAGCTTATCAGCCGAGTGCTTCAAGCAGCAGAACCAAGCAGCTCTCCATTTTTGAACGGCTTCTGTAATGTAAATAGGAACAGCAGTCTTTCCAAGTTATTACCCTGTTAACAGGTTGACAGATATGTGCAAATTGTGACTCACTGCTCAATTTGGCACTAAATTAATGTCTTTCCGCACCACGTCTGCTCAAGTGTAAACTAGTCACCACTGCTGTGTTACTGCTTGTTTGCCTATATTCCAAAGGTAAAAATTAAAGTAATTTGATTCTGCTGCAGAATGGAGTGCAGCATATGGTGGAAGTGTAGGAGGAGAGCACGCTGTTCCTACCTGTCCTCAGCCCTGCTCTTGGAGGGGGGTGCCACTCAGGCTGCAGAGCTCTGTGCAGACGCTAGCGGGGCTCGCTGCCTCAGGAGGCAGCGTCTTGAGAAGAACTGCCAAAGACCATCTCCCATACTAACCACCCCCACCCCGACAAAAAGAGAGTGTCATTTTTGTCTCCACATTTTTAATTTGAGCTTCTAAGCTTTCCTTATTTCTGTCAAGTCACTAGTGGTTGATTTGTGTTTCGAGGATGAATCTATTTGAAAATGAAGTGTTTAGATTTTTGCTTCTAGAGTTTAGACATTGTTTTCCTCAGCTAAAGATGCAGCTGACTTTCTCTTTTTGGCTAATACCTAATGTCACCTGTAAAAAGAAATCTGCATCTCCATTGTGTTAGGCATATGAATGGAAAACAATCTCCTTAAAATTTGTTCTTGCTTAATAAAATCTAAATTGAGCTTTGGCGTAGGCCACGGATTGGGGAAGAAACAACCACAGAAAATCACCCCAGCTCTCTCCGCTTAGATGTGCTAGCTGCATATATTTTTCCTAGGAACTATTTTTCTTCTGCCATTGTAAAAATTAAATAAAGGAATCCAGAAATGGCAAGGAGCGTTTAGAACTCTAGCCCTTCTGACCAGCAGGCAAATTCAAGTAGCTGGCATGGAGTCCTAGCTTCTTATACACTGAGCTTGGTTTCTGGCTTTTTTTGTGCGACCTGGGGTCAGCATTTAACCTACTTACTTCTTTTCTTTTCTTTTCTTTTTTTTTTTTTTTGCAGTTTTTGGCCAGGGCCGGATTTGAACCTGCCACCTCCGATATAAGGGGCTGGTGCCCTACTCTTTTGAGCCACAGGCAGCGCTCCTTACCTATTTCTTCATTTTCCTAGCCAACTAAAAAGACTAGGTTTCCAGAACATAGTTTGAAGCTTTCAAGGTGAAAGGTACAAGCAAGAGCAAATTATGATGTTACCTTTGTACTGAAATTGTGCATATTCATTTGCTTCCTGCTGTCCAGAGCTATGATGGCTATTGATTGAGGATCAGTTCAGAGGACATGGCCTACCCCTTCCCCATTAGCATATGCTTAGCAGTGACCTCTGTTCACATAGGACAGTGGATTTTTGCTTCCTGCTGAATCAGAAGAAACTGGGTGTACACTGCACATACAGATTTAGGAAGGAAGTCTGTAAACGCAGAAGAGTCTCCAGCGACCTAATAGAAACTTCCAGCGTGCAGTCTTTGTCATATGTCTTCTACCATTTCAAGAAACATCAAGTAGTGATGAAAAATAAGTTAATTTCCTCTTTTCTTTACTTTGTAACTTTTTTAGCATTTAAGCTTAGATCCAAGATTGTGTGTCATGAAGCTGTAAATCTAGAAGAAATCTTGGGAGGAGATGTGTAGACAGTCTGTTTCTCAGCCATCTATGAAAGATTGTTTTCTAAACCATTAAAAAAAAAAAGCAACAGAATGGAGTCTTCCCTTTGAGAAATGCCTCTTGCTCTTCTTGAGCAAGTTCACCTTTTGGTGCTCGGTCCCCATGGTATGGTCCTTTTGAGAGGTGGAAAATGCTGTTTGGTACTGAGTTCATGAAAGCAGTTGTGTACTTGAAGAGTAGGAGAGTCTCCCTTGGGGATTCCTATCCCTGGAGGAAATCCACTTCATCCACCGCGCCTCTCCTCACCCAGCTGTGCTGTCGTCATTACCGCTGGGCTTTCTGTAGGTTTTCTCCTGCCTACCTTCAGCTCAAAGTTTAAAACTCTATATAGCATTCTCTAAGGATAACCTGAGAGATTTATCAATAGGGTCACTTCTGCCTTTCACAGCTAATAATGTTGATACTCACTTTTTAACAAATGGCATTATGTTGTCTGCTGTCTCTCATGAGCCCCAGAGGTTCAAACTAAAATCTTTTCATGTTGTGGACAGAGAACTCATTTTCCTCTTCCCCCAAGAGAATATACCTTCTATATGTCCCTGACTTAATGGACATGCAATTTAATTCATCATGTCCAACGGATATGAAATACAGTGCAGAATCCTTAATAAATAGTTGTGCATCTCAGCTATGATATTACGAATCCCTTTTGTGTCCAGCATGATCAGATGGTGAACACAAATACTCGAATGATGTTAGTCTCTGGAGACCTGAGCCCACCCTGGCTCTGTTTATGCTGTGGGCTGATGTCTTCACAGTGAGCCTGTACTGTAGGGAAGAATTCATTCTAAGAAGAGAGCATTTTTGCAGAACAGGCCCGGGCGGGTGGTAGAGGGTTATGTGGTGCGACTACCAATAAGAACACATGTAATTACTGAGTCCTTCATATGTACAGACCCCCATGCTAAGTGTTTCATATCAATGATCTCAGTTATCAAACCTTGAGAGATTCAGATTCAGATTCAGTCCAGATTTCATTTGGACTAGAAGAACAGATGTGCCTCTTGGGGTGGGATATCTCCAAGGTAAAAATGGAACGGGATAGCTTGTAGTTTATAGGGAGAGAAGTTGTAGAGTCAGGTAGAAGGTTTAGGAATAAAATTATAATTGGCACATAGAAAACCAGTTAAAGGAAAATCAAGGCAAAACAGAAATACAGGAAAATAGAAAGCTATGTAGGTAAATAATGCACTCCTAAACTGCTTTGTGGCTCAGCTATCAAAATACACAGAGATTTTAGAAAACAGACAGTACCGGTTTAAGCAAAATTATGATATCATTTGGATTAGAATCCAACCAGGAAAACAGGAATGACTTCAGGTATGTAAAACAGAAGGAATTTCATTCAAAGAATTGGTTATTCAGGTGACTGAAACAAACAGAAGTTGGTGAGGCAGCCCAGAGGTGAGTGGCAGCAGGAGCGCAGCCAGCCCTGGACCAGAAGGAAGGAGGAGGGCATGTTGTTACAGTGGTGGCAGAAGGGTGGCACAGAAGAAAGTTAGTATAGTAGGCCTTGCCTTGAAATGAGAAATCAAAAGCCAGCATTAAAAACACATGATTTAGGTCAGGCATGGTGGCTCACACCTAAAATCCTAACAGTCTGGGAGGCCCAAAGTGGGTGGATTGCTTGATCTCAGGAGTTCTAGACCAGCCTGAGAGAGTCTTTAAAAAGCCAGGTGTTGTGATGGGCACTTGTAGTCCCAGCTACTGAGGAGGCTGAGGCGACATGATCTCTTAAGCCCAGGAGATTGAGGTTGCTGTGAGCTGTGAGGCCATAGTACTTGACCAAGGGCTACAAAGTGAGACTGTCTCAAAAAAAAAAAAAAAAAACCAAAAAAACCTATTATTTAGAAAAAGGTAAATACCAAAAGAAATCACAAAAAAAGTCGGCTCTAGAAAGGCAAGGGGAAGAACAGGGGAATAGTTTTTATGTAAAAAGCCTTGTAATCTTGTTTGCCTACTGAAATATATATTCATATAGTGATAAACATGAAGTCTTTAGTGTACTGTAGGTTTTTAGTTCCTTTTTTTTTTTTTTTTTTTTTTTAAAGACAGAGTCTCAATCTGTTGCCCTGGGTAGGGTGCTGGTGGCATTATAGCTCACAGCAACCTCCAACTCTTGGGCTCAAGCAGTCAGTCCTCTTGCTTTAGTTTTTCTATTTTTGGTAGAGATGGGGGTCTCATTTTTTGCTCAGGCTGGTCTCGAACCTGTGAGCTCAAGCAATCTACCCGCTTCGGCCTCCCGGAGTGCTAGGATTACAGTCGTGAGCCACTGCACTCTGGTGGTTTTTAATTCTTTCTTTGATTGATGTTCTAGTTCATACATGTGTGTTTCCCCCCCCGACTTAGGTACGTTGATGATGTGATCAGCCGCATTGACAGGATGTTCCCTGAAATGTCCATCCACTTGTCCAGACCCAATGGAACATCAGCAATGCTCCTGGTAAGATCTACTTGAGCTGTTTGTAGGGACACATGGGAAAAAGCTAACTTAAAAATCAACTCGCTGGTCCTGTGTTGTGGAATCTATACAATGGAGATTAAATCCTAGTTTATGGTAAATAACATATTTTCTTACCTGGCATTCTATAGATTAAAAATTCTATACCCTGAAACCTTGCTGTTGAACAAAATTGCAGACCCATGTAAGAGTTAAGGTGAAAGGAAAGATACTGTAAGACAATTTCACCTTAAAGTCACTTTGTGGTACAAGCATCCTGTTGTTTTAGTAAATCTATTATATTTGCCCAAAGACGTACGTTAGGGAGTAGTGATGTTCAACTGTTGGATCCTGCTAAAGAAAACCCTCTCTTAAAACAGAACCAAGTTCTCCAGAAATTACTTATGAAATACATGATGTATTTGAAGATGTTCTGAGACCTCATTACCTATAACTTCTGATTTTGCTTTGCTCTGAACAAATTAGTCTCATAACCTCACCACTGATGTTTGTATTTGCATGAATCTGCTAAGGATAGGTGTGTTTTAGAAATACAGTGGACAGAAATGCTTGATATTATGAGTACAAAATACATGGACACCTCAATGCTGAGAAGCCTTCCTAAGGCCTGCATAATAATATGCACTTGAGGAACATTTCCTTGAATATATATTTTGAGGAACCACTGCATTTTATAGAAAGGAGATTTACTGAATAAGAGTGGTGCCAAGATGGGTATCTGGAAGGTAAGGCTGGGACTGAGTGTTTTTTACACCTCGTCGTAGCGTGAGCTCCTCATGTTTTTAGCATTTTGCTATGTAAATGCTTATGAATGGCCTGTCATGCCAGATGAGTTACTGTTCACTCAAGCCATTCATCTTAAGAGAACAGACTTCTTGTGAGTGCATGTGTGTTTTTCTCTGAACAAAGAAAAAGATGTGGCCGTGTTAAATGTGTGGTATTTCATTTGTGGGTGGGAGTAAAGTTCATCTGGATAACATGCTACTTTAAAAAAAAAAATTCTTCTAGTTAAAATATAAGAGTATGAGATTACAAAAACAGTTTCCTTTGCATAAAATCTATCTCCAAAACATGAAATATTTCCTGCCTCAGTTAAACATACAAATTGTTGGCCAGGTGTGGTGGCTCATGGCTATAATCGCAGCACTCTGGGAGACCAAGGCAGGAGGATCACTTGAACTCAGGAGTTCAAGATCAGCCTGAACAAAAGCAAGACCCCGTCTCTACTAAAAGAAATAAAAATAGCCAGGCATTATAGTGGGCACCTGTAGTCCCAGCTACTCAGAATGCTAAGGCAAGAAGACCACTTGAGCCCAGGAATTTGAGGTTGCTGTGAGCTATGACACCATAGCTTTCTTCCTACAGTGACAGAATGAGACTCTGTCTCAAAAAAAAGAAAAGTATGAATTGTCTAGATTTCAAGACCCTTCAGACCCAGCAGCCAAAACATAAATCCTGTTTTCAGCATACTTGACAGGGACCAAAGAATTAATAAAGATAAAAATGAAAGCGTTCTCAGCGAAATATGTTGTTCAATTTATTTCTGGGTCATTGAGCTTCCATTTCCTGATGAAGGTAGGAATTTGGCATTGAAGGGAATGAGCATAGTGAACAGGATTCTAGGCAAACAGGCCTAAGATATCAGAGTCTCTTCCACCCAAGAAAGCAGGCGTTTATTTCACAATGACCTGTTGGCCTCATCTGTTCTCTCATAGAGGTTCTGTCCTAATAGACTGATGAGAGAGTTTAGGCGCTCAAATCAAAGGAAGAATCCCATTTTACATACACCATTTTTTAACCCCTCACCCTGTAAGTGGCTAATTCAGATATATATGTGTCTCAGTGGCTAGTTGTTACCTTTCTTCAATGACACAGGAATTCACAGGAGGAGGTGCTTATTTATAGGAATACGAGTAAGGGGTCTGATTCCAAGTCAGATTGCCGGGGAATAATCATACTTTTAACATAATTGCATTATTTGGCTTTTACTTCTTAAGTATGGTGTTTTATTAGACGGCAGCCCCGCGATTTGTTTCCACTGCGCTCACTCGTCTTCTGTGATGTCAGAGGGAATCGTCACCTGTGGGAGGTGGTGAAGGCACACTCAGCAGTCTCAGCAGCACACTCAGAGGGCACACTCAGCAGTCTCAGCAGCACACTCAGTTAGAGGGCACACTCAGCAGTCTCAGCAGCACACTCAGAGGGCACACTAGAGCAGTCTCTGCTGACATCTCTTTTTACCTGTTAGCCAAGGCCTGAACTGTGCCTGTACTTTTGAAATAAAATGACATTTACTCCTGAACCAGCTGGGCTTCCTGAATGCAGTCAAGAGAAACCTGCCTTGATTAACTTAATCAGGGAAAGGGGTTGTTTTGGTTTTGCTATTTGATAACCCTGAGTGCTCACAGACTCAAAGATTGAGCTGACCTGCTGAGAGGAACAAAAACCAGTCTAGCAGGCCAGGTACAGAGACTCAGGCCTATAATCCCAGCACTGTGTAAGGCCAAGACAGGAGGATCACTTGAGGCCAGGAGTTCAAGACCATCCTGGAGAACATTATAAGACTCATCTCTTTTAAATTAAAAAAAAAAAAAAAAAACCAACAAGGTAGCTCCAAGCATATCAAGAGCTAAATTAGGACAATGTCCTTTTGGGACCCTGTGGCTCAAATGATTTCCATGTCAACTGCTTTCTACCCCTTTGTCATACCCCCTGGGAGGAATGCTCCTGCTCGCCTAAGCCTGAGGTTACTTCTCACCTTGTGGTTGGGGGAAAGTCAGGCCTAGGGAGCTCCAAAGAAGTGGAGAGGGAATAATTCCCCAGAGGAAGCAGCAATCTACATGGAGCAGTGAATGTGCGCCCACAGGGCTTCCTGGTTTATCCACCGTTCATCTCATCTCATCCTCTCAGTGGCCCTTGAAGTAGGGAGCACCAGCTGTGTTCATTTGACAGCAGGAAATGGAGACAGTTATTCTTCTAGATCAGTGATTCTCAACCTTCCTAATGTCACGACCCTTTAATACAGTTTCTCATGTTGTGGTGATCCCTAATCATAAAATTATTTTCGTTGCCACTTCATAACTGTAATTTTGCTAGTTATGAACCATAATGTAAATATTTGATATGCAGGATGTATTTAGGCAACCCCTATGAAAGGCTCATTCAACCCCCAAGTTGAGAACCGCTGCTCTAGATCATGCACCCCACTACCCCTGGGCCACCAGGGTGCTGTCCTCCTGTCTCTGAGGATAGCTCGTGTTAGTGGCAAGTAAGATTTGGACTTCCAGACTGGTAACTTTTTATTATGGAATTTGATATATACAAAGGAATATTTGTAATGTCTGTGTAGATTATAAAGCAGATAAACCCATGAGCTTGAGAAGCAGAACACAACCAGTGCATGTTCCTCCCCAGTCCCTAATTTCTACCTGCGGTCACCTCCATCCTGAGAATCACCCCTTCTCCTTTTTTAAATGTAGAGTGCCCCAGGTGCCAGTTCTCCTAAATGGTACTCCAGTGACTTTTTTATGAAGGTTGTGTACTGTTTCTGAGATGTGTCTCTGTTGGTGGTTGTAGCTGCAGTTTGATCGTCTTCATTGTCATCTAATATCCCTTCTGTGACTGTCCACATTTTATTCTTTCTCTTACCAATTCATATGGGGCTTGTTTCAAATTTTGCTTTTTAAATAATACTAGTTTAAGCATTCTCACACATACATCAGGATAAATCTGTAAGCTTCAGCTCATGCCGTGGAGCCAGGGCAGGCCCTATCTGAAGGAGGAGGGGAGTGTTGGATCGGGGACAGCTTTTCCCTAAGAGATGTCGAATTGTGAAACATAATGTTGTCATGCCCACATGGTTGTGCAGGGGTTTCCCAGAAGTGGTTCCTATTAAATGGCCTTGGTTCTGTATTCCACCAATTCTCTTGCTGTTTTAAGTCCTTCTGCTCTGGGTTGTGAGTACAGAGGGGGTTTGGGTTGTTTGTGCATAAGATGGGAAAACAGCATAATGTCACTGAACTCCAGGCAGTTCACAGATAAAGGGCAGGTGTGGTGACCTGGTTTTGTTCCCCTGTCACCAAGCAGTTGCTGCCCAGCAGCAGCAGATTGCCTCTGTATCTGCTGTTCCTTCACAAGGTAACGGGGAGAAGACAGAGGGGGACTACCAGGTTGACACTTCTTGAGGTTTCATTTTAGGTATAAAGTCAGTTTGGCTCATCTGAAGCCAGAGTAGCCCTTTTTTTTTTTTTTTTTTTGAGACAGAGTCTCCAGCTGTCACCCTGGGTAGAGTGCCATGGCGTCACAGCTCACAGCAACCTCAAACTCTTGGGCTTAAGCGATTCTCTTGCCTCAGGCTCCCAAGTGGCTAGGACTACAGGTGCTTGTCACGCCTGGCTATTTTTTTGGTTGCAGTTGTCGTTGTTTGGCAGGCCCGGGCTGGGTTTGAACCTACCAGCTCTGGTGTATGTGGCTGGCACCCTAGTCGCTGAGCTACAGGCACCAAACCCAAAGTAGCTTTTTGTTTTTGGCCTGAAAGCACCAGGTTTTCAGGGCCCATCAGAATCTTAGTAGCTGTCACCTTTTGTCCACATGTTCAAATGTTCTTCACAGTTGGGGCCTCACAGTTAATGCCCTCTCTGATGAGCTAGGATGAGAGCAGGGAAGGGAAGAGAGATAGGTGCTTAGCATTTGCTGAGTGAATACATAAATGGCAGAAATAAAAGCATCTGTGACTTTTCACATGGGTCCGGTGATGCATACTGCTGGAACAGGGGGAGGGCGACTAAGGCCCTGGTAACTAATTTGATTCTAAAACTGACAGGAAAGTTACTGGCTTAACTTCTGGTGTCTTTGTGAGCCTTAGGTAATTGACTGCAGCCTGTCCAAGCTAAATCCTAGCTAAAGTGAAATCCAAACTTTCATTGTCTTACTAATCTTTAAATACATTTTGTCTCTCTGCTGTGTTTGGGGCTGTTGTGGTG